TAGATAGATAGACAGACAGACAGACAGACAGACAGACAGACAGACAGACAGACAGACAGGCAGGCATACAGACAGACAGACAGACTCAAGGACCCCACCACACACAGGGATAAAACTAGTTACAAGGCGCGGCGTGAGGCCAGAAATTTACCAAATGATGGATTTTCCCTCCGGCCCGAGGGGGGTGGGGTGGGGGGATAAGGTCATACCAGGCACTGTACGGTTGAATGTTGCAGAACACCCATCATGAGCCGACTACAAAGTGGTGACATCCTAATACAAGGTGCCAATTGGGGGGTCGGGTCTGGTCGGGGTGGTTTGCCAGCCAGATTGAGGGCGCAAAGCGGCTATCGTGGCACAAGCCGATCGTGCCCGACTCGCTTTTGTTTTCAGGCGACGAGTGGGGCAATTGCCCACCCGACCCGACCCGACCCGACCCGATCCGATCCCATCCGCAATGGGTACCCCGTATAAGGCGTGCCTACTCAGAGCTGGTTGTAACGCTCGGTACTTGTACTTACGTTACAGTTTTCGGTACTTTTACTGTACTACGGTACATTTTTTAAACCAGTACTTTTACTGTACTCCGATACTTTTTAAAAAAAGTACTTTTGAGTATTTTTAAAGTACATTTTGAGTACTTTTGAAGCTTAATGAAAGGGTAAGTGCCGGCATTTCTGATCATATTTTACGGAACCGAGCACAGCCGACCAACCAAGAGTTAAAAGTTGAGAACAAAGAACGGCCCGTAGCGTCAAAGATCAGACACTACCGTGAATGTGATCACAAGCGTTGTAAAACTCCATGAAACGGTACAATGTTGGCTCAATCAGAGAGGGAAAGCTAAAATTGTTGGACAGGTGAAGGGGAGGAGGGGCAACTGGATAAACGTAGATAATATCTCAAGACTCACAATAGGCTAATGAGTGTGTTCATGTATTTTAATTATTGCATGCCTCATGCCACTGTGATTGGTCATCAAGGTTGACCACTCTTTGCTCGCCATATGTCATAAATCCACCCGGGGTCACGTCAGTTCATGGGTCACTGAAGATTCTTCCTTGGCTTCGTCGGCTGAGATCCCATATTTTTCTTGCTTCTGAGCACTGGAACCTTAGGTGGAGACTACTGTAGTAGAGAATCTTTACTTACTTAACTAGACTCTAGGAAACTATTGTATTTTTGCTTGCCGTGGGCGCGTGGACTACGCAGCGTGACCAAAATATGTCTTACCACTATAATCAATTGAAACTGAAACTGTGTTCTCAATGTATATCTATGAGGATTTGTTAATGAAGAATTCAGTGCGCTTTTCCATTTCTATGTTGGCCATTTTCATTAATTTTATGTTTTTTTAAGAGCAACTTTGTATCTAGATTTTCCAATTTGGATACTTTTTCTGTAGAACTTTCCGACCTCTTGGACTGACTTACATTTGAACACATTGTCTTGCTCAAACAAGTTCTATTCACAATATCACTTACCCACTGTTTGTTTGGGTATTTTTTTTTCAATTTCACGGACCATTTCCACCTTCGTTCATTCAGTGCGTACATTGTATATTCAAATGCTTTGTATATTGTTTACATTTTTAGTAATAAATAGCCTAATTTGTCAAATATACTGGATATGTTATTTAATATAATGTTTTGCTTAAGCGTTGAAGTGTTTTAGCATATTAGCAGAAAGTACTCAAAATGTACTCATAAGTACTTTTTTAAAAAGTACTTGTGCTCAAGTACATTTTACAGGAAAGTACTTTAACTGTACTTAAGTATATTATTTAGATTGCACTTAAATTTGTACTTAAGTACTTTTCAAAAAGTACTTTAACAGCTCTGTGCCTGCTACTGCGTGTAATGTATAAAATAACCCCAGGCCAATGATTGAGGCCAGGCCAGTTGTCTGGCTTGCGTCCTTTGGGGTCGTGCGTGCGTGGGCTGCGGCAGATGTATCTGTTTTGACAACATTTACTTTGATACTGAAAGATTGTATTTATTTCATTTTTTTTTAAGTTTTGCTGATATTTGTGTCTCTACTTTTTCTAGAGTCCTCCCCCCCCCAAAAAAAAAAAATTAAAAAAAAAATTAAAATTAAAGATTAATAAATAATTAGATAAATAAAAGTTAACTTTAAAAAGAATATTTTAAAAACAACATAAGTGTAAACATTTTGGTATTCTCGACAGTCAGTAGTTATCCTCGGTTTTATTTCTGTTTTGTCTTTTTCTGACATGTAAGAAAATCATAACTATGTAGGCCCTTTTTCACTAAGATACACAAGCATCCTATTTTTCCTTCTACAAATCATCCCCTTCCTCTCTCTCTCTCTCTCTCTCTCTCTCTCTCTCTCTCTCTCTCTCT